CAAAATTGTTGGTTATATAAAGGGGTGGCCATTTTGTTGTATGGCAGAATGGTAAGGATAGTTAAGATGAACGTGTATTCTTAATTGACTAGAAGGATTGTAATATTAAGTTTACTATGGAGATAGAGAAGGATAATAATTCACCATTTTTTGGTGTTTTTGTAATCAAAGCGAGAGAGAAGTTAAGCAGGTATGTACATAGGAAAACAACACACGCTAGTTTAATCTTAACTTTTTTCTCAAATCATAGTTGCATAACAAAGTTTGGTACTTTAAAAGCTATTGTTATATGGAATACTCTTGTGAATGTTGAGTACCTGAGTACGGCTAAAAATTCAGAGATCTTTTCCTATTTTTATCTTTGCCGTCGTGCCTTTTATTTAAAAGGATTGGCGAAACACTAAGGAAGTGGGGAACGCAAAAGGTTTTCAAGGAAACTATTACACTTTCTTCAGTTATTCTAACTTTTAGATAGAAAGTCCCCACATTATTAAGATCAGCTTTTTATAAAATAATGTGATCCTGTGATCGCTTTTATGTTGTTCAACTGAATCAACAGAGTGCGCAATAAGTTAATTTCCAAGACTACCGCTAATTGGTTATGTAGGGGCTGATTGTCCATACTTGATAAACCTAAGGTTAAAACGAGTGTTTAGCCATTTGGAAAAATTAGCAGACCAAACAAGTATATTTTATATAGTATCCTAATAAATGTCACACTTTCTGTACCTCTTAGTATAGTAACACACTTTTCATATAATAAAAGCGATTTTAGGATTGCAAGACCTTTAGGCTTACCAGAAGACTAGATTACATTTTATGTTGCATCTTTCTTGTCATTCACTGACGCCCAAACTGTCACCATACATTAACATCTTGCCTGCTGGTAAGCACGGTTTGGTTTTGAAGTCAGTTTGGTGTGCTTATGAGACCTTTGCAGTTTCGAGTATGCTCAGAATTATAGTACAACATAGATTAGCTGGCATTTAAGCAAACAAGCCTAAGTGAGAGTAAATGTCAGCAGATAAAATATTCTTATGAGAAAAAGTTTTCCATAAACTAGGCTAATGGTTTTAGTTGCTTAGACCAGCAGGCTGTTAGGACTGCCTAAAAGCACATTTCCCAAATTAAGAACCCAAAATTATTATTCATTTTTGTCAGAAATGCCTGACCGAATAACCAGGCTAAGCTAACATCATCCAAATTGACTATGTTTTGATACTAAAAATATATCTTGAATAATAAACGTATTTATCTTTGATCACATACGGTGATTAAGTTAAGTGGTCACAGCTTATTATTTATTTACTCGGTAGGGTAGCCCGGAAAAGTTAAAAAATAAACGTGCTGTGGCAGTTTCGACCAAGACATTTAGGATTGATAGAAATAGAAGACGTACTTTCTATTTCAACTATTGCTAATAAAGATTTTTTGTGGAATTACCATTAACTTCTAATCTTATAAGAATTATGTTCTATAAACGTTAGCTATGTGTGAATAGTCTAAGCTCTATGCTTAAAACCATAAAACTTTATGGACTACAGAAAATTTTTGTCTTCCATAGAATATTTTTAACTATCCCGGTTGAGCTAGAGGCTCAAACGGCATACAATACTACCTTAAATTCATCCCTATGTGTGGAGGATAATCCTTACTTTTGTTGCATTGCAAGTGTGGACTAACTTCTTCACTATTAAGACTAACTAAGGAACGCATGTTTTCCCTTTATATATATTTATTCATTTATTTATGAATTTAGATAAAAGCATTTCCATTAGCCTAAATTATGGACTCTATTGATCCATAGTAGCCATCTCCAAATATTAAATTGTAGGACATTTAGCCTTTCTCTTTGTCTTCGGTGTAAGCATCCTGACTAGCTCTCAGGCATACATACTTGCAAGATCGGTTCATTCGAATACAATCCCATGTAAATAATCCAAATAAATTTACATGGATATGCCTAGATAAAATAATATAAGAGGTATTGACCTCATTTCGTCTAAGGTGATGAAGGACTGGTAGTAGAATTTTCCCACAATGATATGAATAGAACTGACGTTTCCATTGAATTTCACATTGCCTTTCTTTCCCAAAAGTTGTTCCCATCAAGGCAGAAGTGGACTGCAGTTTCGACCTCGCATCGGTCTTACCAACACTCCCAGTGGGAGTCGAACCATGACAGTGTAGAATGAGAGCTTGACACGTTAACCACTCGGCCACATTGCCACGAGTGCCCTTGGGGCACAGGGAAAATGTGAATTTTAAGGAAGACCAGGCCTTTTGCCATATCATATTCTTTGGTTCGACTCCCGCTGAGGGTGTTGATAAGACCGATGCCTTGATGGAAACAACTTTTGGGGAAACAAGTCAATGTGAAATTCAATGAAAACGTCATTTCTTCTCATATCATTAAGGGAAAATTCTACTACCAATCTTTCATCAATTAGACGAAATAGGGTAAATACCTCTCATATTACTGATTTACTGGTAGTCTCGAAACTCTACTCCAATACGAAAATAGATAAAATAAGCCTGATTTCGAATCGGCAACTTGGATGGATTCATTTTCGACCTCATTTGTTAAAATATAAAATTTAATCATCTCGGTAGTAAATAGGATTTTACTTTAATTTTGTCGCATCTTGTTACTAGGCTTATTGCCATGCCACAATAACTTACAACAATTCATTGGTGACTTACAGAAGTC